TGGCTTTAACCATTCCAGGAAAATGGGGCTTAAGATTGAAACAGTTTCGACAAACAAGCGGGTTTGAGAGACATAGTAACCTTTGGCAAATAAAATTTTGATTATGAAATCTTCTCTCCCTAAATGAAATCAATATTAAGCATTTGCCAATAGAATTGGTAACTTGAATCTATTGAATCAAAAGGAAGAATCTTCAAATAAAATTGTCCTTCCTGGAACCTATTCAATAAGGCACCAATAGGAGACAAATTCTCTCAAGAAACTGCTCGTAGCCTATCATATTGAGCGCACTTAACTCTACTGATCATTAGTGTAACTGAAAAGGAAAAAAACACCAATCAATTCCTATATTTAAAGAGCGGATGAATATAAGAGTAATCATAAAACCATAACCGCAATAATATGCATGATAGTGATGGCGTCAAATCATCTCCTTTACGTAGGAAAGAGATTTTGAGCAAATGGGAGGAATTTACTAACTCACTAAAGATTCTTAGTGAACGCTAATTCTTTCTCGAGCATACAACCAGACTCAACTGGATGTTCCCAGTATTAAGCTACTAACCAAAAAATTTGGAATAGTTATATTTCTGACCAACCACAATCGCTATTCAAAGACCTAGAAAGAGGAGTAATCTGAATGATCCTATTAAAATTAAAGTAGAAGGGGAGCCATGTCTTAAGATTCGGATGTCCACGGTTTAAACTCATGAACGAAGGTGAGTTTCTAGGACATAAACTGTGACCTACTTTAAAGAGATGAGATAAATCTTTAACCAAACGGTGGAAGGTTGTAAATATGATAACACTTAAATTTAGCAAAACTTCAATTATTGTGAATTCAAAAAAACAATAGAAGAAATTTATGATATAAAAGTAAGGATTGCGAAAATTTTGCCGTTTGGATAAAGTGCTTGAGAACATGGCGAGGAATAGTAAGATAATGAATAAAATTAATAAATTAGAGATATGGAATTAATATAAATTTGGTATGAAAGAGAAAAAGCAAATTTAGTAAGGCGGATGCAATCCCATTTAGTTAATCGAGTTAAGTTAGTAAACACTAGTTAGCTGATTTAATAAAATATATTCTCACTTTAAAGAGTTTTCATTGTTAACCAACCCCTTAATACATCTATCCATTTGTTCCAATTCTCGAAATTACAAGCGTAAGCAGACAAGTCTCAGTTATACCTCCTCACTAATACTTGATAGCACATCATTTCAAACTCAATGACAGCAACGTAAATGTCTTCCTACCCACACCAAGTGCCTACCTTCTTTCCATAAGGTGTGTTGTGAAGTGGAAGGCAGATGAGTAATATCTTGGAAAGACCAACTGTTGTCTCCTCGCAACAAGGAAATGGCTAATATTCCAACCGAAATTGAAGTACAGCAAAATCCTCCAGGCTTGATACTTTACAATAATATATGAAATGGAGCAAAAGAAAACGATTGCCGACATTACATCTATGAGCAAATCATTGTTCCCTACCTATCTATTAACTATCAAATGAATTTCTGGGTTATTCAAAAGACGAACAAAGGACAGAGCAGTGAAACACCCCTGATGTACCTCAATTCGGGCTCCAAACACAATCCTTCTTCTATTCACGCTATGATGATACTCCAGTCATTCTAAGAGATAAATTACCCACTTACACCCTTTTTTTCTTATTTCCTCAAAGTCGCTCAGTAAAAACGTAAACTGCTTTGGACAAATCTTTTGTTTAATGATGGAATTAAGGAAGCGCATTCGTTTGGTAAGAGGAAGTCTCCTAATCAAATTTGACCTGACTCATAAAGAGTCTTACAACATGACTACTTTGTCAATGCGAGATCGTAAACCAATAAAGTGGACTATCAGAATTAGATACCCGCAACTCTGATATAACTTTCAACTCTACACTGATAAAATTAGATTAGCTACTATTTCGATTAGTCGATCACAATCAGAAGAATCTTCATTGAAATAGGCATAACAAACTTCGATAATGCATAAGCACGTACGCGAAAATCCCAAAATTGTACAGACAATTCCCCACCCGTTGCAAAGCTATATTCCTTGAAGGGATCCCAACGAATAATACTCGTCGGAGCTGTTCAAACGAACAAAGAAAAAATAAAATCCAAAGTGCTCATGAAGAAAACTCTAGAAGGAATGTGATACGTACAGTACATTTCCGCATTCATTACCAATCTGTGAGGGTCTCTTAAGTCCCAAACTGTGATGGAACGGAACTGTTCACTAGATGCCGTTGCAAAAAGGTGCGGTTGCATTGGGCACCAATCCACTGAGTTAATCGTTCGAATATAGCCTTGTAGATGCGCTGTCATAGTTAATCGACTCTCATTAGCTGCCCAGGAGTATATCTCGCACCTATTCCGTCTCTAACAAAGTATAACGCTTAAAAATTTAACCTACGACTAAAGCGAATCTAGAGGGGTCATGTGGATGACACTGAATAATTGAGGGATCCAATGACTCCGTAGACTGACTGTGGGCCTTTTCGAACGGAGATTGTAAGTCTATAACCGATATCTCCTTGGCCCTGTAAATTCAAATTAGAGGCTTTAAAATGCACCTACCCCGCAAGAAAAGCGAAACGGCCTGTACAGTCCACATCCAATACCGATGCCTAAACAATTAGAGCACATAGAAGACAACCATACCTCCAATCCCGCATGGTGAAACTCTCCGACTAAACGACTTTCCTATAACAATATAACACGAAGGACTCCATGAAGCAAGATCCAAATCAAAACAAGGGCAATATAAAAATCAGGTAGGTTGAAATTGGAATTTTATTTCATTTCCCCACATACGAATACTTGTGCTAAATACGAAAAAAGGAGGGTGGGCGAGCTGGTGGGAGTCAAGGCACATAAACTGTACACATACCAATAGAGAGATCTGAGCAAGATAGACAGAGGCAAACACACCATTACATAGAGATAATACAAATGCATTTATATACAGGAGGCAGGGGGGATTTACAGACACACTAAGATGAGGTTGCTGGTAATCCTAAAGTGGTTTGAGAAGTACTATTGGCTTCGGGTTCCACCTCCTCAACTAGAACATCAGGTGATTTCTCTTGTGGAGAGGATGGAGGGGGATTTTCATGGACTGCAGTAGCCTCATCATCAACAGGAGTAGTCGTTCCCATCATTTTTCTTCTCTTATAGACACGAGGAGATGGCGTGCTATTTTTGCTTCCACGGTAGAGAGAGGCACGAGCTACTCTGCTAGCATGTCTAGAGCGTGAAGCAGCACGGGGACTAATACTTGATGTAGCGCTGCGCAGGGAACGGACTATTTTGTTACCCCCTTGTGACGACGGAAGTCGACGTTTTCGACGTTTGCGTGGACGGGGAGCTGGTGAAGCTATAGAAGAGGAAAAAGAATCTATCAGAGAGGGCGCCTCAACGCTAGGAGAGGGTGAAATGCCGTATTCATCGACGCCTTCTTGGCCTTTTGCTCCTTCCTCCTGTCCTTCTCCCTTCGGTATCACGGTAGGAAATCCAGCCGAGGAAGAAACGTCACTGTATGGAGGTGCTTCGTAGGAATTTTCGACTTTTGTCGTACCATTTCCAATAGATGATGAGCCCTTCAATGTAAATAAACGGGTATTATATAGCAAATGAACTGGTAAATACGAACATGTGTAAAATATCAGCCGTTAATTCTATTTGACAATAATTTAAGAAATACATATCTGAATGGACCGACCTTACTCCTGAATAAAGAAAATAGATTGAAAGAAAATGCGAAACTTTTCACCTCAAAAATGATCGTGGAAAAATGGCGTAGGGACTTTGAGTGTTTCTTTTGATTAAGAAACAGAATACGCGAAAATAAATGGTAGAGAAAAGAACTAGTTCATAAGGTAGTCTAAACTGAGGTAAAAGAAAATTGATAAGCGTATGAAATCGTTTCGTTCTTATAACAGATTTAATACGAAAACAAGAGGAAGTTAACATGTGTTTAATGTAATAAAGAAATGGAAGAATGATTAAAATGACAAAGTGAAACTGGTGGTTTATAAGTAGATGGTTAATAGAAAAGATGCGCAAAACCAATGAAAAATAATTGGTATTGAAGCCTATCTATGGAGAAAAAATAAATAGCTCAATAAATAACCAAAGAAATCCTTGAACAACAAAGCAACGAAAAAAAACTTATGCAAGAAAATTGAATTTATCTCCGAAACTGATAAAACACATAATTCTTACACTTTCTAATTCAATTTTAAACTGAATTTGACTCAAAAAAGGCAAACATGGCCAGCTTCAACTATAAAGTGGAAATAAAATCAAGGAGAAAAAAGAGAGTATTGATTCATGATTTCAAAAACAACAAATTATTTCCTAAATTCTTAGGAAGAAATCATTTCAGAACACATTGGAAAAACGCCAGAAATTAAAGTTCTGTTTAGTGACCATGAGTATACGGCATCATTGAATATATACCAATTGGAATTGAGTGTGCGGTGTTCAAATTAGAAGAAGTGGTACAAGAAAATCGAAGACGACCATTAAGGCTAGATAGGCATCAAAAAATTAAATATGTGGTTAATTGGCTGCAGCGCCAGGGCGCGTTAGAAAAGTTAAGCAAAAAATGAAAAAGAAATAGTGCTTAATGATGACCATTAAAAAGACGGACAACAACGAAAGAAAAGTTAAAAGCAAATAGATATGAAAGAGTGGTGCAAAGAGATGCAAATCCCCAGATTCACCAATTAACATTTGATTCAATTCAAAATTAATTTCATTACAAAAAAAACCACTACAGGTAGAGAATATGCATACTTAAACGAGGGAAAAATAAGCTCAGTTGCAATTCCGAGTTATTTCAAACACAAAATAGGTTTTTCAAATTACGGATAAGAGAGACAAATGACAACTAGCAAGCATAGGGAAACGATTACTTACAACTACTGATGGAGGATTTGAAATCGCAGGACTATCCGGAAGGGATGGAGCAAATTTGCAAATACCATCAGAGGAAGATTTTGGAAGATATTCGGTAATCACAACGCTGAATCCATTAGCAAACACTTCAAACTGTTGAGTACAAGTCCGATCAACGGCATTTCGTGGGAATCTGAAAAAGATAGAACTTGCAATCAACTTTTAGAAAATAATAAACTAAAATGAGACAGAAATAACTTACGTTGGACGAAGAAGAGAGGAATTTTTTAGAGAAGACGAAGAAGAAGCTCCATTACCAGAATGTCGCTGATATCTCCTTCGATTGGTTTCACCGGATTCTTCCTGACGTTCTTTAATAATGGCTCGAGCAATAAGATTCTGTTCTTCGACAATTTGTGGATTTAATTTGGGTTTACGAGTGGAAGTACCCTTCCGCGTTTGACACATCTCACAACGGAAGGCTTCAGCAGAATTCTTGAAGGTGCAAACGGTACAATCCCATGACTCCTCCTCCAGATGTCCCAACAGCGATGAGGAGACTCGATATTTGCGCTTTCTAATTAAAGAATAAATAAGATGGTTTCAAGAGTAAAAGATAAACAAGATTAAAGGAATCAGTTGAACTATAAATAAATCACCAAACTAAGAAAAGGCGTCTGATAGGAGTTCTAAAATGAGTAAGAGCAAACTGCCATTTAGACACCTATCAAAATAAGCAGAATAGCATTTTATTTGACACACCCGTTAGTTTCTTACCTTCTTCTAAATAAATTAGGTAGATTTGTAAAATGGAAAAAGAAATACCAGCTTAAAAGTAAATCAATTGAGACAAGCTATTAATATAAAATCAATTTTGACGTAATAAAAAGGCGAAATACGGAATATGCTGTAGATTAATATAGCGAATAGATTACCGACAAGAATCCGACTGATGAGGATCCATACTGTAAAATTAAATCATACAATCGTTTTAAGTGGATAAGATTCGCATAAGCCGCCACCTATTAAAGTGCAATTAAACGTGAAGCTGACGTTCAAATTGCTTTATTAAATCGAAATATATCTGCTCACTTCAAACCAAAATTGGTTTCTCCCATAAAGAATGTTATAACAGAGCACAGAAATAGCACTAACCTTTTAAATATTATCTTCAAATCAAAAAGGGTATGGCCATGCATTCATCAACAACTATACTATTATCACAAAAATACGCTTTTTGTAATAAATAGAGTTTTTTCATTACCAGTTAATATCCATTCCCAATGCAAAATTTCCGCATTTGTTTATCGCAGCTTTGTCCTATTTTAGCCTGTCTAGTGACCTTGGTGGGCGTTACGGGTGTTTGCTGCAACATGTTCCGTGAATACCTAGAGAAGGGCAAGATATGGGTTGATAAAATGTAAAGTTAATTACGTTCTTACCTCTTTTATTAGTACTTCGGCCGTTATGAACTACACTGAGCTTGAGATCAAGGTTCGAGATGCAACAAATGATGAACCTTGGGGTCCACATGGCAAAATTTTGAATGATCTTGCAAGAGAAACTCATAATGGTGAAGGCCTTTTAGAAATTATGATGATGTTGATTAATCGCATATTTCCGGAAAATCCTAACAACTGGCGGCGTACTTATAAGGTTTTACTTTTTTACAGTCTATTCAAAACATAGTTATATATGTTTTCTTGATTTTTTCTTCTTATAGGGTCTAACCGTTCTCGCCTATTTACTCCGAAATGGATCAGATCGTGTCTATGACATTGCCCGTGATAATTTTTATAATCTCCGTTCTTTGGAAAATTATGAGTGCATAGATGAACGTGGTCGTGATCAGGGTGCTTCAGGTATGACTTTTTTCTGAAGTTTTAAGATTTTAGTTCGTATTAAAGCACATGAGGTAGTGGAGCTTCTACAAGATCCTGAGTTTCTTCAATCTGAAAGACGGAAGGCTCTCTCAAGTCAGAAATCTTACGACGGTATCGGAAACAATAAAATTTTGAGTGGCAACAACTACTCAAGAAACTTTAGTGGGTAAATATTTCTCGAATTTTATTTTATTCTTTAATGTTCCCACCACTCATGCTAAATCCCATTTTCTTTGTTCTCATTGTTCCTCTGTCCTTTTCTCTATCTCACGTGTTTGCTAACGCCTCGCTTTCCTAATTTTCGTGCTATTTTTGCACTTTGGTTTTAACAAACAAACACATTAATGTCTAAAGGTGGGGTGATGGCGAGGATGATTCTTTTCGTTATCCAACATGCGCTGCACCCAAGTCTGAAATGCCCTGGAATTCAAGAGACGGCTGTGATTCCTCCTCATCTTATCGAAATTCCACATCTCCTTCTAACAAGTTGGGCAGTTTTGAGTCTTGGAAGGGAGCGCATGAACGAACATTTGTTGATGAAGTAGCGGATAAACTCTCGGAGGTCTGTAGAGCGGCGAAAGTTGTCACCAATGATCTGCTTGGCATACCTCGTGTTCCGCCGCCATCTGTGTAAGCCCATATATGGCTCTTTGTCATTAGTCGGTGTTTAATTTGAACATTCACTGCAGCTAACGGAAGATATTCTATTCAAACGGTCTTTAATTACTCTTTCCTAAATTCTTGTCATATTTTTCGCATCAGTGTTGAATACTCGGTTTCGTGTGTCTATATCTGTGTATGGTTCAATTGTTTACTTATTTATTTCTTAATTTTTAAATTGGTGTCATTTCTGTGCCAGTTGTGTTACTTTAAATCTGATTCGGCGTAATGTATAGCATTGTACTTTCTTTTTATTCAATGCGAAGTTCCGATTTACTTCCATCACTCCTTTGTCGTTGCTCTTATATTCAATTAACTTGGCTTCTTACCCAAGATTGCATAAGTTAAATCGAAATTTAATTAAGTCGGTAGTGTAATCCGAATTGTCAATTCGCTTGTCTATATCGGCATCTTTTTAAAAAAAAGTGTGCATTAAAAATGGGAAATTATACTGTAAGCTTACGCCTTTATTTCAACGGTTAACGAACTGCTATGTGCGTTCTATGTGGAATTTGTTTGATTAGGTTCTGTGCTATTTCTTAAAATCTTTTCCATTCCTCTCTTAGGAGTAAATTTTGATTACGATGTATATTTACTTTGCAGAAATGTTTTAACGATAACTAACTTAAATGCAAAGATGTCATCCTAGCCCTGTTCATTTGAGGGTCTCTCATTCTACGCTCTCTCACTTTTCTACATCAATTGGAGTGCAATGAATTGTATTGATTTTATTACATTTTATCCTATATGCATGCACTTTGATCGCTCTGTCGCCACAATGTACTTATCATTTTGCGCCATGCCATAGACCAACTTCTGTCTTTTTCATTCTCATTTAAACTGATCATAAATTATTTTAAGTCATTGCTCTCAAGTCTCTTCATCATTTCGTGACATTGTTCTTTTTTATGCATTTTGAAATGGTTTTGTGCTTCTGTTTAGTCAATTCATACGCTAATACTGGTGATCCTTTTGGAATGAATAAATTAGCTACGATCTGCCTCTGTCTACATGAGTTTACCAAAGATGTGTTTTTTGTAACAAACTTTCTTTTTGTTTACTTCAAATAATGCCAGTTGGTGCACGACCGTGAATTTCTTGTGGTTCAGTTTTAGAGTTTTCATTTGATGCTTTGCATTAATTCTATCATCCAGAATTGTGATTTCAACAAGAAATCCTTCTCTGTTCTTAGTCTGTCCACATACCAAATCTATTTTTCCTTAGACTATAACTGTAAATGGGAATTGTTAGAACTTGTGAGGAATAACTTCCCCCTGTCTTTGCCAAAACGAGTGCTGACCAATTCGCTTTTTCAATATTGACTACTTAATTAGTTTTCTTTTCTTAATTAAATTATTCGAATTAGCCAAATGGCACCCGGTCCTTTCACAATTGTCATTTAGTATTGGCTAATTATAATTGGGTATTTTTTTACTATCATAAATGTGAGAATTTTCTCCATTTCCCTTTTCTAAATCGAAATTCACTTTATGTAAATTATCTCTAATTTGTCTAAAAAATTATAATGAAAATCAAATGCAAATTTGGGCGCAATTTTGCCTTTTCATTGTAAAACTCAACCGCTAACTGCTTTATTACCTTTTTACATCCTATTTGCATAATTAACCAGTTAATTTTGAATGTTTGGCACAACTCCCTGTTAATATAATGTGGTATTCACTAGGTACTTTTTATTAAAATATACGCCCTGACGCGTTCTAAACCATTGCCTTATATTTAATCCATCACTTGTAAGTGCAGTTTCGATGCTTTTATTTTAGTGCCTTTGAGGATACACTATTAGCCCTAAAGTTACCATTCATTTTAAGGAAACATGGGTTTGGTGCAAAGTAAATTGTAATATGCTCAATATCCCATTATTTTAATATTTACCTGATTATTTGAATATCATGTATTCGATCAACTTCGCCCTGTGTCTAGTGTTACCGATGAATCCGCCTTGTTACCTCATAATCCTAAAAAGTGAGTATTGCACTACGCTGCACGCATTCGAGCATCATCTATGTTTGGTGTTTCTATAATGATTTCGATGGGTCCAAGTCTGATTTCTCGCACGCTGAGGTTTATATGAGTTTAATAAATGTCTCTAATGCTACTTCACTTATTGACGCTTCAAAATTATTTCTATTTGTTTAGTAATCTGTTACAATCATGCTGATTTTGTGTGTGTGCGTGTGTGTGTACTTTGAACCTTCATTTTCTATTTGTTCTTTTTTCGTATTTGTTCAACGTATTTAGTAATCAAAAACCACTTGAAATGATTCTGTTTTCGAGAATGTATTATTCGATTTAAAAGGCTTCATTTGGCCCTTGCCCTTTTGATTGTTTGAGTCAATGGCTAATAGTGGTGGTTTCTCGGTCTGTTGAAGAATGTGTTTTCTACCACTCATCTTAGACAGAGGAGTCAAAGCTCGAATTCTACCACCGTCTGTTTGGTGGGTTCTGCTGACCACAAAAATTTGTGCAAAATTATGGTTTGATTGGGTCTCTGTCTTTTCAGAAGTGTTCGTAAGTTTATTTTGTCATCTTATGCGATATAGGCAGTTTGTCAGTCGTCTACTGAAAGACTCTTCCCTTCAATCAATAGTTGCCACTCTTGCTCAATTTGTAGATGCCCAAATAATGATTGATTATCCACCCCTCCCCCTCTGTCCGACAGTTTCTTATTGCTTTAATTTGGCAGCATTCGGTTAAAGGAGGCGTGTCTCTTAGTTCATGGTGTAATACAAATCGTGTCTGTGACTAATTGACCGCAAAAGAATCTAGTAATTAACGGCGATAGCATAACTCATGACTTTGATCAAAAATATATGATATATTAGTAATTGCGTTACATCAATCAGTGCTATTCTGTTTGTCCTATTAATCATAATATGCTCGAAATGTATTAGGCAAAATTTATCCCCTCCGATTTTATGCATTTTCTCTGGGTGTTTATGTTGGTTGCTAGGCTACCATTATTGTCCTGAGGCTTATGCTCTATACTACGCTAATAGAGGGGGGCTACCGTCATAGTGACGGCTCGAAGACAAGCTATACCCACGATTATGGCCCAAATTGAAACGCTCTAGTGTAGTTCTGATGTCTATGGCAAATGACGCCTGCGGCTTCTTGATTTGACTATAAGTTCTCAGTTTTTCTTATTATATCAGTGTTAATTCAATGTTTAGTCGTCTTTCTCTGTGCTCTTGATTACTAAGTATGAATTGGTTCTCACCATCCATTGTCACTACCTAAAATGATCAGCCGATTTCTAGCCTCCATCTCAGCGCGTTTTAGTTATCAGTTTAGTTGGTAATATAGCAGTGATGCCATTGTTTCAGCGTAGGGTACCCGGTTTCAATAGCTCTATTTAGAGTAACATAAGTATTCTATATTCTCTTATGTCCTTATGATACCTCGTTTGACTAATAATTTTCGCTTGAAAGAAGATATCGTAGAGCTTCTCTGGTTGTAAAACTCTTTTTCTACTTCCTCAATATTACCTGGTACCATTTCATTATTACCATTACCATTATTACCATTCCATTTCCAATTGTCCCTGATCACAGTCTATGAATTGTCTTCCATGCACGCTATACCGTTGGAAAAAGCTGAATCTTAACAAATAAGTTATCGTTGACTCTCGTCGATTGTCTATGATTAATAGTTGAAACGAAAAGTCTTCGATTTCAAATTCGTCTTTACAACTGCCTGCCTACTTCAGGCATGAATTTTAAAGTAATCCATAGAAGTGTAATCTAATTCAAGTCTCTTAATTTTGAACTAAGCCTTCATGAATGAAAGCGCTTGCGTATCATTTCTACTGAGCTCTGGATTTTCTCCTAAATGCTCAACAACATGAATGAGAATCTCACCTGCTTCGCCTATTATGACTTCTCTTTAAACCTAACCTATAACCGTTACGTTCTCGTGCTACACTTCTAGAATATCTTCTTCATTCTCTACCCTTTTTCTAGTTTTGAAGAGGATCCCCACAAGGTGTCTGAGGATACCTTCTGCTTTCCAGATGCAAATGTAGATGAAGCAGAAGAGGAAAGTGGGGGATTCAGCTCATTCCGACAAGCCTCTTTGCCTCCCCCTTCTACTGCTGCTAAATTCAAGAGCCCTTCTTCGAAACTGCCTACGTCGGACAATCCGCCTTCCCTTCCTGCACCTGTATCTCTTATTGATCTTGATGAGCCTACAAATAAGCTTGCCTTTGAGGTAAACAACTATTACTGATTGCATTACCACCACTTCATACGGGCTTTTCTCACTAGTTTTTCTGCTTTATTTTCTTCTTATGCAAAAATTGTTCAAACGCATGATGTCCCAATGCTCTATTTGCTATTTCCTTCGGTTTATTGTTAAGCCAAACAGGGTAGCTCAAAATTGCAGTAATGTCTCAAGCACATTGTTATAATAAAGTGTGCTCAATGAACTAAGTAGAGCATTTAAGTGGATTTTAAGTAAATGAAAGAGGATTGAATGTTGCGACAATTTTTTATGCTTTGTGCAATTAGGTAGGATGGGCGGGGGGGGAGGCGTTTTTTATGCTCGTTTTGTATTTTGTCTGTAATTTCAATTGACTAAGGGTCTTATTGAGACTTATTGTTTTTCAATTAGATTAGCTGTCACAAACGGGGGAGATGCTCATCTGGTAGTCATTGCGACTTTCTTACCCACTGCCTAATTTTTCCTTCAATTTCGCGTGTCCCAATGAAATTGCCAAAATTTCATGAATTCTCCGTTAAATTATTTCCACGATCCTGAAATCCAGAAAATCCGTTGTTTAAGTTGTGTCTTTGGGGGCATCCTTCATTGCATCTTTCGCAAAAGGTACTGCCAGCTCCCAATTAAGAATTTGCTATATTAAGCTTCACTTCACTAAATTGTCTTCGTAACGTCGCTTAAACTGCGTAGACTAGAATTTACTCTTCACTTGATTGATTGGTAGTTATATTATTTAATTTAAAAGGCGTTGTTTATTGGTAGAATTTGCACTGACTTTATTTCGCACATAAATTCGTTAAAATTGAGTACATTTGGATGAATGTTGTAGGGCAAAAGTAAACGATATCTTTAATTTGATTTGAATGAACTCGGAATGCACTTCTCACGTTCCTATTCATAGCCATTCCCTTTTGCAGTGTGCGCTTACTCGGTGTGTGCTAGTGGTATCTTTTACGCCACTCGATATGCTTGAATGAAACTTGGGTGTCAAATTAAATCTTTCTATCTGCTGAGACCATTAGTGATTCTGATCTCCTTTTGAAAATCCATTGACTTAAGGTTTAAATGAGTTTTTCCCTCTACCGACAATTTGTTTCGATGTCTTTCAATGTAGTCCAGTAACGCTGCCACACGTAATTAAAAATAACAATTTTATATTTAGCAAGGCATTGAAAAAGTCATACTCCTAAATCTTTATAATTAAATAATGTACCACTTATAAATGGAGTGCATGGTTAGGTTTGTACTTTTGATGGGTTTTGTCCCAACTGCCTTCTATTAAACGGAATTATTGAGGGATGTTTTTTTTTGAACCTCTAGAGCCCTTCAAGACTTCCGCGTCCGCCATCAATCGAGAACCTTGCAACTACACTGAAAAATGCCAAAGGTGCAGAAAATGTTGACTTTTTTGCCGAAATTGACAGGCAGCATTCAAAACCAGCTGCCGCTTCTACAGAGTAAGTTGTCTTTATCCTCAAACCCAGTATCCACACTAGTTATTTCCCACTTTCAAATGTTCTTTTCTACGAACTGGTAAGCGCATCTCCATCCCCAGTCGTGATGGGAATTTAATAACTGCAATTCAACGACTATCCTTCTTTCCCCTCTTTAATTCGCTTTATGTGCTTCTCCTGATCAGTTTGTTCTTTCATCACTTTTAAAGTCATCGTAGCAAATCCCTTGATCTTGATATCTTTTTAGATTTCTCTCCTTTGAAGCCTGTAAATCACACTTTCACGTATATGTTCTCATTACACATTAATATCAGTCTTAAATGTCAAAATGATGTCTGCCTACGTATCACTCAAAATATGTGATTAATCCGTGCACTAGATTTAAACATTTTGTGCTTGCTTTAAAGCATTCTTAACACACGATGATGCTGGTGATTTCCTTAAATGCACAGTTTTAAGACTCTGAACTGGGTACCAGAACTTTGTCCCATCCTTTTGGCAATCATGAAATTACTAGGTCAGTAATGGAGGCTATGATTTTGGGTCATTTAAGTTAACTTGTGTGCTTCCAATGATTGAACAGGTTCTATCAGCTTCCTAAACAATCATATATTTGTGCTAAGACGTACGCACCTATGTGTGGGCATCTGATTTTCATGGGCAAGACTATTTATTGAATAGAAAGGGTTACATAAAGCCTGAAGTACATGCGAAATTTGGTATTGTTGCTTTAGTTTATTTTTTCTACGGACATTGCGGTCGAATTGAGAATCTCTATGCATTAGAAGAACTCCGTGGTTATTTTTTCTGCGTAATTTATTGATTATAAAGTGCGTCCGAATGCTTTGTGAATATGAGCCTCATTAGATCCCATAAATTGCAACAATTGGACACTTTGTTGTGGCTGAAGCCATTCTTGGCAATTCAGATTACATATGGTTTTTACACTTTGAGTGCAGGAACATTTTCTGCAAATTAAAGGGTGACATTTACAAACGATGCAATCATCTGCGCTTAGTCATGCCTCCCAATCATATCACCTATCAAATCACACACATAGGTACCTAAAACACTGGTATCAAGTGCAATAAACATCGTGGTCCTAGATATTCATGTAGGCTACAATTGCTCAGACCAAGAAGGACAAGTGGAAGTGACATTTGAGGTTAAACAAAAGTGAGAAAGCCTCAGCTGTGGACAACGATTATAAGTGTAAGGAGGATAAGGTAGACCAGGAGGTTACTATCCAGTTGTCTGGGAAAACACTTCCTTTCAATACATTACTTTGTTGCTTGTTTATACAAACTCATATTTTGGTTACGACAGTGAGGTCCTAGCAATCATTGATTCTGCTGGGTAAGGAGATCGCTTGCGGAATAATTGCAATTCGACTGAAGTAAATAACCAGGCTAGCTAAGAGTTGTTCTAGATGCAGGAGCCCCGTTGTTGTCATAGGAATTTTGTACAAGTGTATACCTTCAAATTAAAATAGTTTATGGATATGCTTAACCGTTTTATCTATTTATATCAAATGGCAGGCTTTTTATGATAGCTATCATTAGCCCCTTAGTTGACTTCGGGCTTCACAGAGGGGGAGGAACATCAAGGGCACAAAAAGTCGAGGGGAGGGGAAACAGAAGAGTGATTCACAGGTGTTAAAGAGACAGACAGACACAAAGGCAGAGAAAAAGTAAGGTGAGCACTGTGGAAGTGGTCGAATATGACATACAGTGGGGCATGGCAGTTTGAAGTCAGTAGTTAATTGTCGGTTCACCGTAATTGTCGGTTTTGCCGTATGAGTATAGGTTGCCCAAGGTGCATCACATGGAGGTAAGTCTATCGCTCACCCCGTTAACCGTTTTATAAGGCCCACGAAAAGACTCGAAGACCATAAGCAGAACACAAAGGAGCTGAAGAATTACCTCTACTTGGACCTAACTATACTGTCCTGATATTTTTCCACTTCATTTACTTACCTAATTTCTAATCATTAGTTTATTGTTGCACAATTTCAGTCTTTTTGCCAACTTCAAAGCAACTTTTCCTGCTCCAGTATCTTCCTCACCTTCAGGATCCCGTGCTGTCAGTGGAATTGTTAATCTCCCCGATAATGCAGATTTTGGCGATTTTTCAAGCTTTAGAATACCACCAGAGGGAGGTAAATCCTCTACGAACAATGGCAAACATATCGATACTTCTGACGATCCATTCTTCAGCGCCTTTTCCTCTCCATCTACAACTCTAACTTCTCCAACCTCAACGATGCCTCTTGCTACCTCAGTGACTATGGTAATTAAAAATAACTAGATATATATGAAATTTGATTTGAGACCACGATTCACTGAGATATTTCTTATTTAGGGTATATTATTAATTGGAATCATGAATTCGATGATATTAGTTTAGCATGAAATTCATAGCCTCGGCTTTGGGGATGTGGTGCGTAGAATTTGAGCATTGTTCTTCAAGAGACTTTGTTTTTGTAAAAATTTTGAATATTTGTGCCCCATTTTTCCCTCTCTCTCTTAGGGGGGCTTAGGGCGTTGGCCAAGCCGTGCAAACAATAATTTGTAATATATTCGACTCCTTATTTCTCTCCTCTAGTTCAATATAATTAATTTAATTAAGTTTGATACACTATATTTAGATTGTTAAGTTGCCAGCCATCTAAATCCTTCGTTTTTATCTGGACGACTACATTTCTGGTTGCATTCTTAATCCCGTCACATTCATCTTATCGGCTGTTTTTTATTCGCGATGTTAATGTTGGTGATTGTTACATTTATCATTAGTAAAGTGAAATAAGACCGAAATTTTGCCCGAAAACTGTAGCACTTCATTCTTAGTGAAGGATATTAGAAGCAATTGATCTTCAGTTGATCTAATTTTTTTAAAGGGCTCTCTATTAGACATGATGATGCTGAAAGTCCCTATTTCTCGGATGGAGGCTGGCACTCAAGATTACCCTTGTGATTTTGTTTCTACAACCAAGAATTATTTCTCTGGTTGGGATTACTGGTCGTTTCGCCTTTCTGGAACTATTACACCTTAATTAAGAGCGGTACTTGTCATTAATGGCTTTTTTGTTTAAATTTATCCTCTTACTAACAAAGGTAAGTGAGCGTGTTACACTATTTGGAAAAGGAGATGAAAGGCCTTGATTGTTGGGAAGGGATAAGTTTTTGTCTATGAATTCCTCTCTTCTGTTAATATCTGGTAGTGTTTTTTCTTTCAAAATATCCATTAAGGAGAATTTGATTTCAATTTTGAAAATTTCACTAGAAATCGAAACATTAATTAGGGGTACCAATAGGAAATCGATTGTTTCGCAAAGAAATTTTTGAGCTCAGTTTATGTTCGGACACAGTGAAGTCAAGAATTCTGAGTTTTTTTGAAGCAGACGTGTATCGCTCCACATTATTTAGAGTGAAAAAGTTGCAACCTCAAAGCAGACAGAGAGCAAATCAGGCAAACTGCTCCTTTTCTTTCGTTTGTACTTGAACCATTATTGCCAGGTGGCCATAGTCCGGAGGTGTCCATTTTGGTTTAAAGATTTACATTTTAATGAGATCCTCTAATAACTATGGGTGAATAATTCCAGAAACTCGCGTGTCCGTGGTCACCTGTACAATGATACTTGAAGCTCATTGATAAAATTGAATTCGACGATATTTGAATACCGCGGAATCAACTACATTAGTATAACAAAGATAAGTAGAAAAGCACGCACATTTTTTTGTTGTCAGAACAGGGAATTCGTCTTTTTACGCCAAATTGGCACTGTTGACGAGAGGTGGATCGTTTACGACAATGTTATTGCGGAAGACAATGTTTATCTTCTAATCTAATTTACTTTTTGTGACCTAACCCAAACCGAGGTTGACCCTTCACAAATTTCATTTACGCATTTGTGGAGTGTATACGAAATATTACATTACGAATCGCTAAAACGGAGTGAAATAGCTAACGATTATTATTGTCAGCGATCGAGAAGACTAAATCAGAAATAAAAAAAGTAAACGTCCACATTTATTTAATTTAAATGACTAACTTTTCAGTGTTAACGCCCGACTCTACAAAATATGGATGAGTCCTTAGAAATGCAGGAATTAACTTAGCAGGTATTACCCTTCTCACATTCTTCATATTTCGCTCCAATCAACTATCAGCTATTCACGTCCACTTGAGCCCACACTGAGAGGGTGACGATTTCGAAATGTGAAATCACTTGATCGAGTATTTCACTCCAAAAAACGGCAATGTTTTTCTAGGATGGGGTTGAAAAATCACAAAACAAGGGGAAAGGTTTGCAAATGGTGATGAAAATTATATGATTTAATGTCATATCCTTAATTTAAGAATAGATAACAACTTAATATCGTCTATAAACTGCTAGATTTCTAACTGGTGTGCTTTGGTTTACAGATTTTAACATCACTGTTTCATTTTGAATTTCATCGAATTGCAGAAATAGCTAATTTTGACTTTATGATCCCGGTGATTTTTTGTGGTCTTGATAAATTATCTAGTCATCTGTCTTGTTACTATTATTGGATATTTCTTCGACCTTGACTTGAGAACACTAGTTTAATTATATCAATACGTTGGGCAGTTGGGAGTGCAGAAGAGTGTCTGTCTCCCCCTCTACGTACATCAACACGTAATTGCCAAGTGGTGATCCCTCATTGCTTGTGGGTTATGGGTTTACCACAGTTTCAATCGGAACGCACAAGCACACACGCACGCACACTGCATCTGCCAACTGTGCTGTTTTGGGCTTCACGTGTGCGTGTTTCATCGATTTGTGCGTGCGTGTCTCCTCCTCTGCGTGCGTGGGTGTGTGTGTGTGTGCTTTGGCGCTTCTGTCTTGGCTTGCCTACACGAGTTGTGTTGCTGCCTTTTTTAATTCATATTGGTGATCAAATTAGGGCAAGCTTTTAAGAGCTAACTCTAGCGTGTTCGAGTTGTTGGCATATTTCCTAAGGTCAGTTTCTGTCAGCTTGTCTATTTATGTTTGTTTAATCGTGCCTCCGACAAGTAGAAGCGGTCTTTTTGAGTCTACCTGACATTTTTATTTATTTGAATTAGTGACTTTCTTTCCTGTTCGAAAGTAATTGTGATATGAGCTCTCTTCTATCTTAATCCCCTTTTTATGGAAATAATTAGTGTATAAATTACATTTAATCATTGTATCCGAGTTTATTTAATCAAAGATGCCGTGTTAACTATTCGCATTGCTTGGAAAAATTCTTTTATACCTCTCAGTATAATAGGGAGATTTCGGGACGGTGGAAATCGGACTTGTCAATTTTACCCAGTCGACTTTTAACATTCTTCCATGATTCACTACTTATTTTTTAAGAAGTAGTGAAGATTATTTGGGAGTACTCCTACTTGTGTCTCTCATTGCATTCTGCACTCGTATTATCATCTAATTCGTTAACCTCTATTCTTCAGTCGAATCGTTTTTTGTGAATTTTTCTATCAATTACAACTTTGATATTGAAGTCTGATCGAAGTAAACTTAATTTTACTTGATGCAGCAGAATAGAATTGTGTTAAACTCGTGAACGTAAATTCAATCAAATGCCTTTCCAGTAGACAATCATCCTGGACCGAGTGAGTCCTCACAGAGATATAAGTAGTATTGGAATCAATCACATCTTTCATGAAAATAAGCTTTCGTTTAGTGGGATATAACTCTTAAAGCACACTCCTATTACAAGACTTGAACTTTTGTTTCTTGTTTTGCCAGCCAAAGCAGCAGACTTCCAATGCTGCACCTATTCCCACGTTCACCAACTCGAAAATGGAGTCAAAAGTTCCCTTAAATGTTGGAAAAACATGGAGTGATTTGGGAGCTATCAATATTGATCTTGATCTTAAAGCATCCAACAATACCAACGTCCAAAAACCCGCTTCACCGAGTCTTAGTCAACTTCGAAGTCAGAAACAAAATCTCCTGGCCTCTCAGCCAATGCAGCAAACAAAGACCATACCAGGTATTGATAATTCAATTGCCACATAAGTTTGCCAAGTATGAGAGTGAAGTACAACTATTTTTTGTAGATAGCGTAATCGGAAGCAAGACAAAATTGAATAGCGCAGCCGAACACGATTTCGCGGATTTTGCCTCTTTCAAATAATGCCAAGAAATATGAATGTAATTTATAAGTGATTCACTCTTTTGGGTACTGTCTGTTGGTAATGTCTTTCAAGAAATGGTTGATACACTTCTATTCGAAAAAAAATGTTTTGTCTTTAACCTAGTCTCTATGCATACTAAGCGACTTGTTGATTATTCAATCGGACATACGAATAAATGGCTGCATGCACTTGGTGTGGAAAGTGTGGATGACAAAGTGTGGTGTATGCATGTAGTAATGAATATCGTCTCATAGATTGCGACCATAATTAGGTAAAGGTTTAATCAAAACACTGTAAAGTGAGTAATACAGAGGTCACAAGGCTTTGGCATATTCCGAGATCTAATGCCCCTTAATTATGCCTCCAACATAGTCACTTGAACCTTTGGTCAACGTTGATCATATTTTGAGGAAAATTGGCTGACGACAACAAGGTCTGTTCACAATGCTGCTTCGATGGATAGTGATAACCAAGCTAATGGGAGTTAAAATGAAAAGGTGCCTAAAATATCAATCAGCGCAACTATGAAAGTAAAATAAATTTGAGTGAACCCTGGCATTTACCGACTGGTGACTACCAATTACTGGGAGTCTGGTATTCGTAAACTTTCCATAACAATCTATCTTACTCTACCCAAAGCAGACGCGATGCAGGAGTTTGGTGAAATATGCCTTATTTGCGCACTAAATTCTCTTAAGGATAGCAGTCTCGCTTAAGCTTTTCGACATTTCACAAAGGCACTTGCACATGGACCATCGGAAATCCCTGAGGACAATTAATTTGCCATTGAGAAGTAAAGCTGTAACTGGAAAACGAGAATATTTGTGCATCTGTTCTCTTTCACTACTCTGATTCGTGCCATGTCGATTTCCTTGCGTAAACCGTCAATGGCTTTTTTGTAACTCATGCCATATTAAATAAATGGTGTTTGAAAAATGATGAATGAGTGATACTGTCCGACTTCGTTAAACCCATTTGGACAACCAAATCGGTGGGGGGGGGGGGGGGGGGGGGGGTTGGAGTATTGACTCCACTCTAGAAATGCTAGAAATTAATTAGTAAATCACAAAGGTAGCAGATATTATCTGGTAATATTTGTCTATCTTTAATGGTTGGTTACCAGCGGCCTTTGTCAACTTCTAGATCATAATTTGAGACATTTTCGGGTGAAATAACCTTATATTGTGGGAGATTCATTCGTGTCCTCTTGCTTCTACTACAAATGGATTTCACTAAGAATGGTTGGCAACTAAGTCATTGCCGTTTTTGTTGACGGATTCACTCTATACTTTCTTTTGTTTTGTTAACGTGGCCAGAGCATCTAACCTATATTTTTTTCTTACTGTATGGGCTTCTAGGTTAATTAGTAAAAAATTTTTTTGTTTAGTTCTTTAGTTTTGTTTTTATCCCAATTTAAAAATGAAAGAACAGGACGTGCACTTCCGACACATTTTATTGTATTACTTCCGAAAAGGCAAGAACACATCGCAAGCACAAAAGAAGTTATGTGCCGTATATGGAGATGAAGCCTTAAAAGAAAGGCAGTGTCGAAATTGGTTTGAAAGATTTCGTTCCGGTGATTTTTCACTGANAAATTCACAACGATCTGGCCGCCCAGTCGAAGTGGATGAAACCCATATCAAGGCCATTATCGATTCAAATCGTCACAGCACAACACGAGATATTGCAGAGAAGCTCAATGTGGCGCATACATGCATTGAAAAAAAAATGAAAAACCCTTGGTTATGTCAAGAAACTTGATTTATGGATCCCTCACCAGTAAAAGGAAATTCATTTGACGCAACGGATTAGCATCTGTGATTCGCTACTGAAACGCAATGAGAATGATCCATTTCTGAAGAACCTAGTTACTGGCGACGAAAAGTGGATAGTTTATAACAATGTTACTCGCAAGAGATCATGGGTGAAGAAGCAAGATCAACCAGCCCAAACAGTATGAAAAGCAGAGATTCACCGAAAAAGATTATGCTGTCAGTCTGGTGGGGGGATCACAAAGGAATTTTGTATTTTGAACTCATGCCGCAGAACCAAACGATAAATTCAAATGTGTATGTTGAGGAACTCGAAAAAGTGAAGGATGCAATTGAAGATAAGCAGCCGGCATTATCAAATCGGCGGAAGGGTGTTGTTTTCCATCATGATAACGCAAGGCCCCACACATCTTTGGTTACTCGGGCAAAAATTATTGGAACTGGGTTGGTATGTTTTGTCACACCCACCATATAGCCCTGACCTTGCGCCTTCGGATTACCATTTGTTTCGTTCCATGCAAAACTCTTTAAATGGTAAAATTTTTAACAACGAGGATGAAGTCGGATCACACCTAATTCAGTTTTTTAATAGCAAAGACCAGACATTTTACGAACGGGGAATTTTTACTCTGCCAGAACGATGGAAAAAGGTCATCGACAAGAACGGCCAATATCTAATTGAATAAAGTTATATTTTTAAACAAAAATTCCGAATTTGCCATCTTATTTGAAATCGGCAATGACTTAGTTGCCAACCTAATAGTAAAATGTTTTAAGTCTTCTAATCTTCAGCAATATCCTTCTCTGATTATACATCCCTGTATTTATCGAATTTTCTTTTTAAAGGTGTTTTTATACCAAATGGCAGGCGTTTTGATAGTTATCATTAGCCATTTAGCTGACTTTGGACTTCATGGAGGGGAGGAACAGACATAGTGGGAAAAGTTCGAGAAGGGGAACAGAAGAGTGATTCACAGGTATAAAAGAGGCATAATATAGAGTCGGGTCATGGTAAACTGTAGTCAGAAGCCAACTGTCGCTTTATAGACTTTTTTTGCCATATGAGTAAACATTGCCCAGGGTGCACTGCGTGGAGGCAAGTCTATCGCACATCCCTCTTTTCAAAGGCATTTGTCACTATTGCTTTCGAAAAAGCGGGTTAGGAAATTTCGCTGCTTATGGTTGAGATGTGGGCAAACGTGGTTACCTTCGTTTTATAATACTTCTGTTAATATTCAAAAATTATTTAATATAAATTTACTTAACTTTTAAAAGCAAGTGGCAGACAAGATAATCACGAGCACAATTTGTAAATGAGCCAGAATTCTGACTGATGTAGCGGATTGCTATCTTAGTAAAGCCTGATTGACTCAGAAATCTCTATGGTAGACCCTAAGTAAAGCCTGACTGACTTAGAAATCTCTATGGCAGATTCTCCTGACTCAGAAATCTCTTTGGCAGATTCTCCTACATCTAGACCGACTCAGAAATCTCCATGGCAGATTCTCAAACATCTAGCTACCGGCTCAGAAATTTCTATGGCAGATTCTCCAACATCTAGCTAGGAATCAGAAATCTCTATGGCAGATTCTCCAACCTCTAGCTAGAGAACAGCTAAGCTATAGCTCAGCTATAAAGAAAACAGACGTGTAGCACGGAGCGCGTTTATATCTGTGGCAGATTCTCCTACATCTAGCTAGACTCCCAGAACGGCAGATTCTCCAACGTCTAGCTAGACTCCCAGAACCAGGGAGATTCTCCTACATCTAGCTAGACTCCCAGAACCAGCTAAACCATAGCCCAGCTATAAAGGAAACAGACGAGTAGCACGGAGAATTCTCCAACATCTAGCTAGACTCCCAGAACAAGCTAAGCTATCGAACCAGCTAAGCTATAGCCCAGCTATAAAGGAAACAGACCGAAACTAGCTAAGCTATAGCCCAGCTATAAAGGAAACAGACGATAATTCGGAACACGTATATTCAGTCACGTAATGATCAGAAAAGTGTGCACGGAGCACGTTTATTCAGGACGTATCTTGCGGATCAAGTGACGGAGCACGTTTATTCAGTACGTATATTGTGGATAAAGTGTACACGCATGGAGCTTAACCATGATCAGAATGGCGGATTAGGTTAAACAAACAAAGGTTAATGATTGGTCACTGTTTTTACGGTCGCACCTCCCAATCTTGGCGTGCAGGCATGCGATGACGTGTCCCACACTGATCACTTAGTAAAACATCCTGACAAGTACAGTTTCAGGTCTGGGTATCAAACTGAAATAATTTCCATTACTCATTGTGTCCGTGTTTGTTCCAATTTGGTTAGTGTTTAGACGGCTCCATTTGTTGTTAACTAAAAACGGTGTAAACGTTTTTTCCTTTAAATATCCCCACTGACCCGGACCGAATAAATGTGCTATTTTCATTCACATACTGCAGATATAGGTTGCTAAGACCTTTTCCTTTTTCCTAATGCACCGTTTCTTGACAAGGACTAGGATGGCCAACTTTAGCGTCTATTTCTTGAGTACGGGGTGCGCGATAGACTTACCTCCACTTGGTGCACCCTGGGCGACGTATACTCATACGGTAAAATAAGTCTATTAACCAGCAATTGATTTCAAACTTCTATGACCCAACTGTTTGTCATATCCGACCACTTCCACCTTTGTATCGTTTCTCTTACATCTGTGAATCACTCTTCTGTTCCCCCTCCTCATTTTTTCTCACTTTGATGTTCCTCCCTTTAGCTAAAGGGCTAATGATAACTAGCAAAACGCCTGCCATTTAATATTAAACAAATGCCACAATCATTGAGGTATACATACGATATGGTCTTGATGTAATTCGAATTAACTATTTGAGGTGTCTTTGAGGCATATAAACACAGTTATTTCACTGAACACTTTATTTCCAATCGTATCAGAATTAAAAATGACCTTTAGAGGTTCTTACGCTTTTTGTTAACTCTGAATACGCTTCAAAAGAGGACATAATTAATGTAAAGTTATTTGCAGGATATGAGCTTTGACGTATTATGTCTCACGTTGTTATATCTAAAGACATACTGGCTTAAGGAATTATAAGTTTAGTCTTTTTATTAGATCGGTTTTTCAATGCAGATCGGGCCACAAAGATGTGTTTTAAAGGTCGGAGGTAATTTTGGACCTCATAATCTGAAACTGCTTCTACTCTCTAATTCGTCTCTCCTTTATTAATATAA